GCCCTGACACATTTATTTTGGCACGGCACGCCCCCCCCCCGCATCCCGCGCGCCCCTCCGCGTCGCACCGCCCGCCAGCCAGCGCGCCCCCCCCCCCATCCGACTTGTAAAATTCAGCAGGGCACCGCCCCCCCATTCCGAGCGCCCCCCGTGCATCACGCCCCCCGCCAGCCAGCGCGCCCCCTCCGCCCCGACTCCTTTCTTTCGGCGCGGGGCCGCCCCCCACCACCTCGAGCGCTTCCTCCGCCGCCCCGTCCACCGGCCAGCGCGCCCCCTCCGCCCTGGCCCCTTTATTTCTGCGCTGCCGCCACGGTGCCGGCGAGCGAACCGGCTCGGGCCGCAAATTTGATTTGCGCCATTTTTCGAGAGGCGCGCGGCCGCCAACCCCCAAGGATATGCCCGACAAACTCCGCACGCAAAACCACTGCCCTGGACAGGCGTTCCCCGAGCAAAGCCGCAATTGACATGTGGCACTTTGCGCCGCGAGCATCCAGCAGCCGGGCCTGTCCCGGAATTTCTTGGAGCCTTTCTTGGATGTCGGAGGCTTCCGGGAAACCTGCCTGGTACCTGTTGTGGTTGCCGGGGGCCTTTTGAGACCGTATTGTAGGCTTCTTGGGTGTTTGTTCGAGGTCTCTTGGGGACAGGTTGCAAGTCTCTGAAGCCATCTTGTGGGGGGCGGCACATGGCGCCTCCTCGAACTCGCCCCTTGAAGCGCGAGCGGCCGCAGGATTCGTGAACGAACGTTCGGCCGCAACCGCCATGCAAAGAACATGTTGCTCGACCCGCAAGTGTATACCGTCGTCTTGCCAAGTTACCAACATTGCCACGACTGGATGCACGCGTGCTTCCATCGGCTTGTCTTCAACGTCACCGCGTACCTTTTCATGGCTGCCTGCAAGAGCGATGGGGCGTCGGACATCTACGCTGGCTTGCCCGGATACGTCGAGCTACGTCGGGCCATGGACATTGCCCCGCGGGGGCACTAGCGGGCGCAACTTCGCGAACATATTGCTCGAGGGCCGCGAGACGGCCAACGCAAAAGGCGAAATCGTTCAAGCGCCAAACGAACGGGGCATTGTCAATGCTTCCCATCATGTGCGCGTATGTCATGCACGTCATTTCCCCCAGAGGGGTTGCTCGAGCGGCGTGCGTCACCTTCGTTCGCATGTGCGACCTGATATGGTGCATAGTTGCAGCGGTATCGGGCCACGCATCACCCAGCGCCCTCAGGGAGAGGACCGCTCATTGCCTTGGCGCCTGTGAAGCAGCAGGGTGGCAGGGATACATGACCCCGAAGTACAATTGGCTGACCCATGTCCCCAGGCTCTTAGAACAGTATCAAAGACTTCTCTCGTTCTGCGCGCACGCGAGAAACCACGAGACGCCAAAGCGTATTCTCAATGACGTCCTGCAGTTGGAAGCTAAGCAGCTATCGAGAAGAGCGCGCTGTCTGAGGTTGCCCTCCACTGAGAGAACCCACGCACCACCGACGTGTTCGATTTTACGCCGAACCAGATGAAGCCCGTAAGGTTGATACCAAAAACAATGCACATATTGCTGGAGGAGCAATTCGGCGCCGAACTCGGTCATGGGTCCGTCACCACGGCTATGGCGGCTCGCGTTTCTTCCTTGACTGTGTGTCATTTCTCGGGACATTGTTTTGTTCGCAGTGCCAGGTGGCAGCGCGGTTGTTGGCGAGGTTTGCGAGCCGCCCGAAGGCTTGCAGACGCAGTGAACGTGGCTCGATCGTCCTTGTGCCTGCGATGTTCAAGTGGTCGGCGGCCGTGTTTGGCATGTTTTTTTGTTGCGCCCGACCGCATTGAACATGAATGCTTTCGATATTGCGTCTCGCCGTGTGGAACATGCAATCTCCCTAATGGAAAAACCGTGTCCAGCAATAAGGCTGCTACTTGCAAGAACTTGCAACTTTGGTTACTTAGGGGCATTTAGACCTTGGCCGAACTCACTTGCTAACTCCCGCAACTCTTACAACCCCCCAAGTTCACTCCAGCACTCCTACTGGTCGGTTGTCGCAGCGTCGAGGAGTCTCTGGGAAATCTGGGGGAAGTACAGGGAAGTCTGGGGAAACCTGGGGAAAGTCCAGGGCAAGTTCAGGGAAAACGTCCGGGGATATCCATGGGTTGGAACGAGGGCGCGCCACATCCGTCGACCAATCGTAGAGAACCCCTTTCGGGGCGACAAAACCTTTCAAACAACCGATGGGAAATCTATGATTCGGGGTCCTGGGGCCTCCTGGGGGCCCACGAGGGCGTCAAGACGGCCCAAGATGGCTTCAGCACTGGGCATGACGCCCCCACAACGGCCCAAGATAGCCCCAAGAGGGTCCAGAAAGCCCCCAGAAGGCCCCGGAGGGCTTCAAGGGGAGCCCCCAAAATGCCTCCAGAAGTCAAAAACATAATTGCCAATATGGTTTTGGAACGAAAAAACGTTCTCGCCTCAATCGCCAGGCCCTGACGACGTAAGCAGCCTCCAAGATGGAGCCAAGACGGCCCAAGAGACCCCGAGAGCGCCCCAAGACGGCACAACAAGGCCCCGAGCGGTGGGCCTCCGCCCACCGCTCTTCCATCATCCTCCCTTCCCCTCGTCTGTCCCGGCAAGGAGCGGGCAGCGGGGCCCGTGCGCCGCCAGCGGGCGCACCTCGCTGTGCGACTTGACCCCCTCGTAATGCTCGGCCAAACGCTGGAGGATGACCGGCAATACCTCCCCAGGCGGGGCCTCCTCCTCCTCCTCCTCCTCCTTTTCCTCCTCGCTTCCTGCTCCATCTCCTCCTTTGCTTCGACCTACTATGGTGGCGCAGCTCCTCCTCCTCCTCCTCCTCCTCCTCCTCCTCCTCCTCTTCCTCCTCCTCCTCCTCCTCCTCCTCCTCCTCCTCCTCCTCCTCTTCCCCCTCGCCGACGTGTTCGGCTGCCTGCCCAGCGCACTTCGGAAGAGCCTTTCGGGAGGAAACACTGGGCGGGCCGCCCCGTGGATGGGGCCGGCACACCCTCACTGAAGCCGGTGGTGGCGACGATGGGGGGAGACCGCTGACCTGGATCAGTGGGGCCGAGACAATGCCCGCCTCTTTCCGCAAATTGATCGTCACCATGTATGCAGAAGCGCGGATGACGGTGGGGAACTAGGGATTGCCGTCGCCGTGCTGCTGCTACTAGTCCTGTTAATATGCGTGCTTATCCAACGCATGCAGATTATCAGGGTCGGGAACGGTTACCTTTTTGACAGAACAGAATCATTGCAGCAACAATGCTACGCTGCCAAGAAAGAGTGAGTTCAGAATTGCGGCACTGCGGCGGCCAGAAGCTTCGACCCCCAACCAATGCAGGCGCAGTCAAGTCCTCCACGCGCCAAGTCAATGATTGCAGACAAGAGTTTGCAAGCAAGTAAATGCTGCAAATGGCTCGCGTGCGTCGCAACCAAAGCTGCCTCTGCTAATGCCGACGGTTTCAACGGCGCTCGACACTCTCTTTCTTCATCAAGTGTTCCAGGTTCCAGGTGCGGACTATATAGTGCGGTCAGGGGTTATGCCAGATACTCTCCTTGCTCTTCTTGTTGCTCGGCAGGCGGCTCCTTGTGCCAACTCGACAGTTGCAAGAATCACGATCCCTACCGCCGCACCCACTTGGAACCTGTACACCTTCGAAATATGCTGGCCGCCCCCCCCCCCGCCACCAGGCTGATTGTCATCATCCCAAACCACTATTATCCTCCCCAACTCGTCCCCATCCCAATCATCCTACTCCCCCGCCCTCTTCGCCTCCTCCTCCCTTCTCATTGCACATGAATCCTTTTTCCGTCGCGCCCCTCGACGCGTCGGCAAAGCGGGCCGGGAGTGAGACCCCCTCACTATTCAGGATTCTGGATGTTAAAGTTCGCAAAACCTCAAATGCTGGGGGGCTGAAAATTTTCAAATTGTGGCTCGCGCAGCGGCACCACACACATGTTCGAACATGCTGCAATAGTTTCGCGGATGTGGAGCGGTTCCTTTTCAAAGGGGGCCCTCGCTCCAGCGCCACGCGCGTTCGTCCCGAACCACTTGCAACAACATCAGGGATGGGGGGGGGGTCTAAAAATGTAGCGCTCGCCGTAGCGCGCATTCGTCCCCTGCGTTTGCAACAGCTTCAGGCCTGGAGGGGACACTTTTCAAAATATTGCTATCGCCATGGCTCCGCGCACTCGTCTCACGAGCATGAAGCGGTTGTGGGTATGGAAGAGGGAATCGGTTTCAAAATGTAGTTCTCGCCGTGGTACCGCACTCATACGTGTTCAATGACTTCACGGATGCAGGCCGGTTCTTTTACACAGTGGGGCGCTCGCTTTAGGGCCGCGCGCATTCGTCTCGACATCGCGCGACAGCCAAAAGACTCATTATGTCGCCAACTATGCGTTAAAGTGTGATACTTTCTGACCAAGATGTCAAGCAAAACATGATCACGTTCGTCAAATGATTGTTGTCATTCATATTCTTCCTGTAGTAGTCTCTTGTTCAGGTTCAACGCGTGCGTAGGCGATGTCTCCCTAACAGCCATGGCTATATGAGTACAATAGTGTCAATTAAGCTTCGGCTGACAAGATAGATGAGAGAGGGCCCAGCTGGACGGGGGAGGGCGCCTAGGAGGGCGCGCGCGCGGCAGGCGGAGCGCTGTCTTGATTCTCGAGCCAACGCGCAGCTTCGGTCGCATGGCTGCGACCCAGAAAAGATCACGGGGAAATGACTAAGCCGCCCCCCCCCGCGACCAGCCCGGCGAACTCCGCGCGCGCGCGCGGGCGAACCTGATTTAGGTTCCGCTCCTCATTAGCACAAGCGTCTTGACACGCAGCGCCCGGCAGGCAGCGCGTCCGCGGTCTGGATCGCCGTGCAAAAGACGCAGGTGCATGGCACCGTTGTGCCACGGCGGCTCAATGCATCCCTCGTGGGCGCATCTGAGCCGCATGCCTCAGTCTCGAAAAGGCACTGTCTGCATGGCCGTGTTTCCTCCCTCGCTCTCTCCCTCTAACCTCCAACTGCGATCATCGGAGCTCCTGCTGACAGTATGCCGGCTGTCCGAACTCCATGTCCACGATGGCCGCTAATTCGTGGCACCTCCCTGCCATGGGGCGGGGGAATCCGCAGTCTGCTGCTCCGCGTCGGCGCGCGCGCCATGGGCCAGACGCCCTGCCCCCGACCGCCCTGCGCCGCGCGGCATCTGCCTCCGCGCGCCACGGGGCACGTTCCGATCTTTCTACTGCAGGCCTTCGCCTGTCTTTCTTCATTCCTGACGTGAAGTTGAATCCCTCGAGCAGTTCCAGAGGCGCGCAGCAATGGCCGGGGCGCGCCCGCCCCCCCGCGTGATGGGCGCAGCCGAGATCAATGCCCGCTCCAATCCTAGGGCCCGCCATGGGCTGCTTGGCGCGGAACTCCGGGGGCCGAAGGTGCCTCGCGGCAGAGTCGAGCAGCGCCTAGGGCCCGTCAAATGAAGAACCATCTCTTTTTTCCACGCAGGGCCATCCGAGTCTCTTTCCTGCGCGTTGCAACATGGGCAAAAGTAAGGCACACCGCATGCCCAGTATGGGGCCGGTTGCCCTGCCGTCATGAGACGGGTCCTGGCCCCGTCTTGCACGATAGCGTCGGCCCTCTCAGCTACTGAGTCACGCTTCTTGTTCGCGGGCTGCGTGGGGTCACGAGCAGCCGTGGACTCGCCCAGGGGATGCACGTTCAGTGACTTGCACGCTCTCTTTAATCCCGTGGAGCCCCCTCGATAGCTCATCCGCCGCGAACCAGTGGCCCCTGGTGCACAGGCCGTCAAACTGCTACTGCTTCGTGCCTGCTCGTGAGCCATCGTTTCCTTATGCCTACGTTGCGTTCTCGACTTCTTCGCCCGCTGGCACGTTGAGCACAGCGGGTTCTGAGCCACATGAGTGAGCAAGTGCTGGCGTAAGACGGCCTCCCGTTGGAGGCGCTCGCACTTCGCCTCGGGTCCTGCGTCTTCTGCAGTGTCATCGCCAGGGTCGTCGACTATACCTCCGCGGCCCCTTGCCCCTCGGGCGCTGTCTCGGCGATTTCTTCTTCGCCCAGTGTAGACGCCGCCATCGCGCGACTAGGCGTAACCCTGCCTGCGCATTGGTCTGGCACCGTGCGCCGTCAGCATGGCCGCATCCTGGCGTCGGCGCCATCGTAGCATTGCCGCTAACAAAACCTGCGCCCGTCTTCGCCCGCGCCGCCTCTGGGGGCTCATCGTAGAAATAAGTGAGCACAGCAGACCGCGGCGCCAATGCGCGGCCCGTGGTCAGAGGTCGCAAGACGCCGCCCGACTGAGTGTTCAGCTTGTCGCTCGAATAGGAATCTGCTGCCATTGCCTCTCGCGAGGGCAACTCAAAGGTTGCGCGGCGCCCGAGTGAATGGAGCGGAGGACCACCCAGCGCTCCAAGGTCACCCAGGCTAAACCTCGCGCCGATCTCCGCGCGCGCCCACCGCTCAAGCCCGGGCGAGCCGGCGGGGGCCGCCTCCTCTACTTCACGCCCTCATCTGGGAGTTCCAGTAGGCGCGGCGCTCTGCCGGTTACCCGGTGGAAACTGCAACCGCGGGCCACGCAGACCTCGCCCGCTGATATCGCGCTCGGAGATTCCAGCATGACCATTGCTTAATCTCCCCTTTACTCAGCTTGTCGCTGGCAATCCTGCGCCGAGGGCTCTGGACTGGCCGCCCGCCGCGTTCAGGGCGACGGGGGCGCCGGCGAAGATCCTGTCAACCGCCCCTGCTTCTTCGCAAGTACTTCGCAGAAATCAGATTCGAACCGCAGCCCGCGTCGACGATGAATGCGCGGATCCAAGACGGACGGGGCCTGACTCATTCCCCCTCGTGGCCTTTCGTTGTTTTCGAGGAGACACAACGGCGACCAGCTCGCCGTCGTGTCCGCTGCTGGCATCGCAGATTTCGCCATCGGACTGTTGCTCCCAGCCAACCCACATGCGCCGGACTTCCTGCTCCAGTGCGACAGCCTCATCGAATGCCAGTTGCGAGTGGATATTCGCATTTCGCGCGCGCTTCTCAGCCCGCTGAGGATGAAACTCGAGAGGATCTCCCCATGTGCTTGGTATCGACCTCGTTGCATCTCTCTTCGGTCTAAGGGTCCAAGTAGGTAGTTGCGGCGTGCTTGAGTCTAGATGCACTTTCCTGGTCCATTGACCGAAATGCGCTTCTGTTCAGATATGCGCGTCGATAGAGCGCTCTTCGCAGGTCTCCCGTTCTTCAATACTTCGAGGGCCTGTTTCGGAAGCGTCACAATCCCGCCCGCCTGGAGACACCTCAACCACTTCACATGAAGGTCATCCTTGCTCCCTCTCTGTACGTGCGCCAGCGCAGCCAGGCTGGTTTCGCCGCGTTCAAACTCGCGGTCATCCGCGCTCTGCTCACCCCGACGAGGACCTCGTCCGAGGGCTGGCGTCCTGCCTGATGGCGGCGCATGGGATCCTGCTCCAGCGCGCTGCGGGAATAGAGAGTTCGGCACTCCTGTCGCCGGGGCCAGGCGGTAGCGGTCCGCCTCAACCCCGTCCAGGCTGGCGCCTGTGACATAATTCCCAAACGCTGGCCCCTCGGATCACGGGTGTCCAGGGGCATTGATCTTGCCCCGACAATCCTTTCCGAATGGGCAGGTCTGTCCGGCCAGGTACCTCCAGCATCGTCGTTTCTCCTTGCTCTTGCCGCTCCCCTTCGACTTGTCCTTGTC